AAGGCACAGGGATGTGATCTTCTGAACCTTCACTCACTCAGCTCTTCTGCAGTTGAGAGCTGGTGTGTGTGTGTGTGTGTGTGTGTGTGTAATTTTAGTCATATAATGTGATCATATTTCAGAGGCTCATTTGTCCACCCAGCCTTGTTTAACATTGACAGAGTTGCTACATTGTAGGGTGAAGGAATTATCAGTTATTGAGAGTCAACTATGTATCAAGTGCTTTAAAAATAATAATGATGTCTTCCATTTATTGAACACGTGTTCTGTGTCCAGGACTATGCTGGTACTTGGAGTGGGGATGGAGAAACACCTGACATTTATTGAGCACCTACGGTATGCCAGGCTCCAATACTAGATGTCTTACTCTCATGATCTCAATCTATTCTTACCGCTATTCCAGGGATAGACAGTACTATTGTCCATATTTTACAGATGAGAAAATCAAGGCTCATAAACCAGTAAAACAAACAAAAACTTGCCTGAGGCCACACACCTTGGTGGTTTGTAGGACACCAAGTCATTTCAGTTATCTCATATTCTCTGGGGGTCTGGAAACTCTCCAAAAAACAGCTAATTCCCAAGCCTGCCTCTCCTTCCCCAGCCCTGTGCCCTTAGCCTCTGAAACAGGCTCAACGGCAATGTTCTCTGCTTCTCAGCTATCCCCACATGGGCTTGGTTACTGGACACTCTGTTCATCTTTCTACACTAAGGGGGTGCCCAGCCCTGGGGCAGGGTCCTTGGGAAAACCTCAGGGGACCTTGAGTGATGGAAACCAAAGCCTACCTACTTGCAGCTGAGGGCTGGCACGTGTGCAGATCTCACAGGCATGCAGGGCCCCCAGTTTGTCTCAGGTGACCGTCCCTGAGGAAACTTAATCCCTAGAGACAGGACACCTGAGGACATAAACAGGAAGGGCAGCAGCCAGAGGCCTGTGACATGAGGGCGATCCCAGAGGGCTGACAGCGCCACTAACGAGCCTTCCAGTGAAGCAAGGCAATCTTAAGATAGACGGGAAACAACGCACTATAAAGAAGCAGGATTAGACTTTCCCCTAGATGATGGCAAAGCTCGGACGTGTTGGGTACCCCAGAAGGCACCAAACATGCCTGTGGTGAATGGCCAGGCTCATCCTTCTGAGTTTCTAAGGTCATGCTTTCACAGACAGTTATTTATTTAACTGCCACAAGTTCCAGATATTTAGGTTCCACAGGCCAGTAAAATATCCACCACCATCACCACCACTACCCCAAAAAAAGACTGACATCTTTGGTGCTTGGCAAAAAAAAAAAAAAAGACATTAATGAAATAATTTGCCATCAATCATCATCATCATTTTAACATCCGAACATCTAAAAAATAGGCAGGGCATAATCTCAGAATGAAAGACAGTCATTTACATCG